TGTGTCTTTGTTTTCTTTTGTCCACTCTGTTAATGTTGTTTATCTCTTTCCATTTTGTGATTTCTTCATATCTTTTTTTTCATAGCTTGTTAATTACTTTTGTTGTTCTTTCCACAATTCTTCTGCATACTTCTTTTGTTTTTTCCCTTGCAAACTGGTATATATGTAATTATATATGTTTTCTTATTACTATAAAAGGAAATTTGATTGACAATACGATTTTCAATTACTTACTAATTTTTACTTAGTAATATGAACATAATACAGTTTTTGAAAAATATCTGAATTAAATATGAACAAATGTATAGTTATAATTACCAGAATCTATGCAGGACATTAATTATACACTCTTTCAATCTGATAAGTTGTTGTGTTGTTTTGATGTATTAAGGTAATACAGAGTGTAATTGATGTTTTATGTATTATAGATCGTTTAGTGGGAGTAAGCTGATTATGATTTTTGTATTGAAATTTGTAAGCGAGGACTGATAACTAGCCAGAAGATTATGTGAAATTTAGTACTAGTTATTATTAGCAGAAAACAAAAAACTCTTAAAAAAATAAAATGTTGTCTTTTGAGAATAGAATTGTTTTTGAGTTGAAGATAAAAGATGTAATTGTTTTATAGCAGTTATATATAGAGATGACCTTCACATAGAAAATTTTCTTTTTATTTGTTTTCTTTGTTTCAAGTTATTGCCCAGTGCCATAACCAGTTACTAGACCTCTTAATGCAAGTTCCATTGCTGAAAAATCTAGGGGTCAATCCTATCCTTAAAATCCCTACTGCTCTAAATCAGTTCTCCAGTTTATGTTCCCTTCTAAAAAAATATATTTTGCTAGATAAAGTTCCTTAAAAGAGAGAAGTTTTCTAAAAAAGCAATTTTCTACAGATGAAGATGTTGTGGAAAAGAGTTTTTTTTTTTTTAATTTTTATAATTTACTTATATTATAAAAAATATAATTTAAAATATTCTTACTTTATTAAATAAAAAAAAAATTTTTTATTAAAAATTTTTAAAATAAATAACTTTAAACTTTATGTTTAAAATTTCAATATAAAAATTAATATAAAAATTAATATATATTTAATATGAAAAACTTTTTTTATTTTTAATACAAGTTAAAATTTTTATAATTAAATTATTAAAATTGTAATAATTAAAGTTATTTTTTGTAAATAATTTTATAAAACTACTTATAAATTATATAAATTTTAACTTAATTTATTAAGTTTATCTAAGACTAACCTTATTAAAAAAATAATTTTAAAAATTAAAAATTTTTCTTATAATTAAACTTAACTTTTTATTAAATAAATAAAAATAATTACTATTAATAAATAATATATAATTAAAATTAGTATTATATAAATTTTTAAAAAAATATTTTATTATTTGAAAAAATAAATAAAAAGTAACTTTTTAATTAAAAATTTTAAATATTATAAAAAAAAATATCTTAAAATTTAAGGGATATGCTTTAATAATAATTTAATTAATTGTATCAAATAATTATATCAATTGCATTAAAAATCTATAAATTTTAACAACATATATACTAAAGATTAATTAATTCAAATTTGATAAATTTGATAATTTATAATTTTTTTGTTATATATTTAAAACAATCAATATAAACTATAGAAAGGTTAGGCTCATATTATTTTAATACTTATAAATAATACTAAACTACATATATATATATATGGCATAAATTATTTGTTATTAATATAATTTTTAAAAATTTTAAAAATAATTATATCATATTTTAATTATTTATATGTTTTAATAGTAACTCAATTAATTGTATCAAATAATTATATCAATTATGTCAAGAATCCATAAATTTCAGTAACATATATATATTAAATCTTATACTAATATATAATTATATTTATCTAAATATTTATCTTTAGTCAATTCAAGTTTTTATTTATGATTCAATTTATTTTGTTTTGAACCAAATATTTAATACAAATCAAATTATTTAAAAAAAAATAAATTAATTAAATTTATGCAAGAAATTGAACACAAAATAGAAATTAATATTTCTTTTAATTTACTTATCAATCAATCAAGATGAAAAATAGCAGCTTAATACTTATACAATTTAAATATTTAAAACCAATTAATTATGACATATATGGATTATAAAAGCATTCAAGAAATTCATATCTACAAAAAAGTCAACAAAGAACAACAACTTTATATAATAAATGTCTTGATTAATATTACTGATAAGATATTTAACAATAATTTAAATTCAAAAATTTTTTTACAAAATATTTTATTTTTCAAAATTGTATATTTCATTTATAATGTAATATAATTTGTAATTTGCTTATTTTAATCAATAAAAAAAAACACGGACGACTGATTAGGAAACGTGATATAATTTCCTTTACGGTGCGTACACCCTTGTTCCTTGTTCCAATAATATAATATCAACTCACTAGTTGTGAAGGTCATTTCAACTTCGGTTGATGATGCAAGAAAAGTTCGTCGAAGATCTATTTCCTTATGTGTAAATTTTTGTGGTACGTTCCTATCTAATTTTGGTACAGATCGCTATCGTATGACTCACACTGTACATTTTATAAGAAACCTTACGCGACTTTACGCGTGTATTTAGCTAATATTAATCTTCTCTTCATAAATCCAAGCATGACATCAATACCTGCTCTCATTGCGTTTTTCCATGTCACAGCGATCGAAGATTGGACGTATGTTAATATAAGAGAATATTATCGAGAGAAATTAGAGAACAAGGAATATAAGATTTTAGTGGATTATATAAAAAAGGATCTTATAAAAGTGACAACCAGTTCTGAATTTGATGAAGTACGTCAAGAAAAAGCTCAAACGATTCTTAACAATTGGAATGTATGTATTATGTATTTATATATTTATGTAAATTAAGAGCTTAGTTCATCAGTCATCGACGCTTGGCGCAAGCTGGATTCTTAGTCTGCAGTGTTCGACGCTTAGTGCAAGCTGAGATTCTTAGTCTACGAAATAAGCTCTTCAACGGTGATGAATTCTTAGTTCGACACTTGGCGCAAGCTGGATTCTTAGTCTGCAGTGTTCGACGCCTAGTGCAAGCCGTCTATTAGTAGTGTCGTGTGTCGTTTTGAAATATTTTTTGCAAGTGTTAATTCTTCTCATTAATTTTTTTCCGAGGATTGGGTTTCATCAACGAATTTAAAAGAGGATTCGAATACATGTACGAATATTGAACATCTGCAGGTGAGCTTCTTTCTAATTGGAGATAATCTGAAAAATTTATAATAAAAATACTTTGCCCCATTTTATCAATTTAGGTAGAACAACTTGCAATTGGATATTCTCATATTACCAACAACCACTGCATAAGAAATAATTATCAAGATGCGAATAATGGAGAGAAATCTTCCTCGATTAAGAGGAATCTTAGAAAGAGAAGATCTGAAATAAATTATATTGAGTTGTCAGAAGAAGACATAGACTCAGATTGCGAAGAAGGGTCGATTAAGGATCAGCCACAAAAAAGGGTATAAAATCAATTCTAAAAATTTAAATTAAAACCGTTCTCTTAAAAATCTTCCTATTTTTGCAGAGTAGAAACGAAGGAGAAAGTATGACTAACGATAGGTCAAAAACTCCAACTCGTCAAATTGTATATTCGGCAAATCCGGACTTGTTTAAACAGCTAAATAAAGAAAAACAGCGAGCTAAAACCACTTGGTAAATAGACCATGTTTATCTTTGTATTCTTGTACTATTAATTAATTGTCACTGTTTTTTATTGTAGTGAGCCAATTTGTTCAAACATAATCGATACAACAAACAAACTTTTAATGGAAAGATTGAAAATCAAACGTGATTATCCATGGGCTTCTGTAATAAACGAGGCCACAAAATATATCGATGAATTAATTGATAATGTATGTTTTAAGGATTGCAACTAGTAAATTCCTTTTTTTTTTTTATAATTATACTAATTTCCGCGCACTTTTTCCTCATTTGTTTTCAGTCTGATTCTCGCGATAAATTCCGAAGAAAGCTTCAACTTCCATTTTTTCCATATGGTGAAACATACTCATTTAGAAATCATTATGAAATGCATTGGATTCATCGTTTTGCTGACAAATTGTGAGTTATATACCCTATTCGGTTCTCGTTTCTATCAGTAGAATTTTCATTGACTTATTCTTTAATATTTAGATCTTTGTTTTTTGAGGCACCAAGAAATCCACTCTTAGATAAAAACTCAGAAGGTTGGCTAAATTGTCATATCCTGACTCCGCTAATTGACGACTGTTTTTTAATGTGTGAAGAGATTCGAATTCATCGGTTAGTATGAAGTTTCCTAATAAGATTTAATGTGATAATTAATTTCTTATTCTTGTGTCTCAATATTTATTCAAATTGGTTCTTCTGTCACTTCAGAGGTGAAGAGATATCGTTGGCATCTACTGAACGTAAAAACTTATTAAGAGATGAGTCTGAAAAAAAAAAATCTGGACACAAAATTGATATTCTATTTCGTATTGATGATGTGGAATATTTTGGTTCAGAAACATACGTTGATGAAGATCCACAAAACTCCAAACCGATTTCCTACAAGCATAAAATCTTGCGAGAAATGAAGGATCAACTAGACCGTCTCTTGAAGAAGTTAAAATTTACAAGGGAAACAATTCAAGAGATAAAGAACATTGTTGTACATGGAATAAATCAAGGAGGTAGTTATAAAAAACAGTGGAAAAGTTCTTGTATTAATTACCTTTCACTCTTGGCTGAGACTTATTATTTACATTCAAGGTCTTAACGGAAAGATCTATGCAATGTACTACGATAATGACCTTCAGTATTATTTTGTTTTTGAGACATGTCGGTATCGGATCGGTACTACGTGGGGAAGTATTCCGGAAAGTCTCATGTCTTTAAAAGATATTCTGTGCTTAAAGGTATGTCTTTGTATTGTCAATTTTTTTACAAATTTCAGTTTCTAATTGTTTTCGATAATTGCAGAAAGATATAAACAATGTTCTTGATACTGTCAAGAAAATAAAATTAACTGCTCTACGCACAAAGTCAGAGGATTTGTTTACCATAGATAATCTCCCAGAAACAACAGCATCCCCCCTAAAAACTGCCAAGAATAAATAATAGTATATAAGTTGTACTTCGAGTCTATTTTTTCTTCAGACTTGAATACGTGGATTGAAGGCCCAAGTTTCGATATCTAATACAGAATAATGTAGTGAAAATTATTTCGTAGCTATATATTAAATATTATTGTGAGCTGTATCCATTTTCGATGTATATATATCAGGGTGACTTGAGGATTCATGATGATTATTGGTTAAATAAAGGGATTTTCGTACGTAGCTGGAAGCCTTCATTAGGATTTTTTACAATTACAAGTGCAAGCGGTAAATCTTAAAAACTTTTCTTTTGATAAGTCAACTACTGTAGTGTGTAAACCCGGGCTATGTTCCGGGATCAATAAAAAAGTTTATTTTATTAATTTATTATATTATATTATAAATTTATATAATCATAATAAAATTTAAATAATATATTAATATATTAATATTAGTGCCAGGTTATATTTATATTTTTTATTTTTTATTTCTAATCAGATTGCAATCTGAATGTATTTATTAATCTTTGATCAAAATACAATAATACAATATAAATATTATATTGTAACTAGCATTTTAACTAATTGTAATATATCTTTTAATAGGTTTTATAGATTTACAATACATGTAATTCTTGAATTTATAATATCAAAATTACTATTTTCATTACAAAGAAATATGTTCATTAGGTAATTATTGTGTAATATTAAATATCTAAAACTTTAACTTTTTAAATATAATAAGAAATAAAAGTATTATTTTTTTAAAAAAAACATTATATAAAAATATTTTATATTTAATTTGAAAATTTATTCTCAATTATATTTTAAATTATTATTTCAATATAAACTTATAATTTTAAAAAATAAAATAAAATAAAAAAAGCTTATACTAATAAATAAAAATCTTTTTGAATTAATTTTTAATTTATTAAAATAAATTTTTACTATTACTTATAATTAAACAAATTATTTAATTTTTATTATTTTACTGTTAATCAAAAATACTTATTATTATTAGTTAAAATAATTTATTTAATATATTACTTATTAATTATTTAATAAAAAGGTAAATAATTTAATAGATTCAAATTTATTAAATATAAACTTTAACTATAAAGTAATATTATAAGAGAATAAAAAAATTTATATAATAATAATATATAATATTTTTATTTATAATTAGGATTTAAAAGATTTTTAGAATTTTTAAAACTTTTGAAATTTTTATTACGTATTATTCAAATTTTTCTTAAATATATAAAAAAAAATAACAATAAAATATATCTTTTTATCAAATATTTAACTTATTATTTAATATTTTTATTTATTTTATATCATATCCAAATATTTTTATTTGATATTCTATAATTAATAACTGTAATATAGCAACAGATTTGTTGATTATATTTCTATAATATAAAAAATAAATATAACAATACTATTTACAAAATGAATAACACAAAGTATATTATACAAGTTATATAAACAAGTTAATAGAAGAAGTAATATTCTAGAAATACAATAGTTTTTACCATATATATTTTCTTATTACTATAAAAGAAAATTTGATTAACAATATGATTCTGAATTAAATATGATTTCCAATTACTTATTAATTGTTACTTAGTAATATAAACATAATACAGTTTTTGAAAAATATCTGAATTAAATATAAACACATGTATAGTTCTTACTTTATATATGATAAAATTAAATTCAAAAATTTTTTAAAAATTATATTACTATTAAAAACTATATATATAATTATATTGTTAATTTTTATCATATATGGTAATTTGATTTTTAATTAATTTACTATATTTTTAATAGTAATATGATTTTTAAAAAATCTTTGAATACAATTTTATTACATATATAAATAAAAACATAATAAATTAATTAAAAATTATATTATTATATATAATAAGAATTAACATTATAATTACATATATAATTTTTACTATATCTTTCTAAAATATTTGAAACTTGAAATATTTTAAGTTTATGATTCTTTATTATCCTAGAACATACAATATGTGACAAAAAAAATTGTGTTTTTTGTTATTATTATAATTTAATAAATAATAATTTAATTAATATTAAACTTTAAATATAGCTTTTTTAAAATCTAAAAAATATAATATTAAAGCTTTTTTAGTAATTAATTAATAATTTTAGTTTAATTTATTAATTAAAAGTTAAAAAAAATTTCTTTAAATAATTTTTAACTAATATTTGTATATAATTTATAGATAGAAAATACCATAATAATTTTTTAAAAAAATATATTATTTTTTTTTTTTTTTTTTTTTTTTCCGTAGTCAAACAAGTGCGTACTGTTTATTAAATCTTTACAGAAAACAAATAA